TTAATGATTTTCACTGGAAGAGACAGCTGTACAGCTTTAGTCCTGGAAGAGCTGTGAAATAAATATTGAGGAATTAGGACTGTCAAATGTCAATGCCAAGGCAACATATTAAAGACAAGTACTCAGTGAATTAACAATGCCATACCTGACCATCTTCAATAAAGTTCACCCAAAATTATGTCAATCATAAATTCTGCCAGAACTCCTGGCCTTAAAATCTTTGAAGAAGAGTAACTACTCATGCCACCTGTTCATTAAGAATATTTTCAGGTTTAAAAATATCAATTTGGGATTCAATATTAGGGCAGAGGGAGCTTATACTATATAGCTTTTGACAGGATGAATTTTGTCCCCAGGAGATAGCCAAAAGTCTCAGAGCATTTTGTTCTTGCTATATAACTTTGCCTTTGCAGGGCTTTTACATTTTGAAGAACTGTCAGTATATCACCAAAATTATTCACCTTTTGTGAATTAGTGTAGATAAATTAATGCAGATGAATAGAAGTTACTTCCTGACAACTGACTTATGAAATATTTTTCAAAAACTGATGACTTCATTCTATTTTCTCCCCAAAAAGGCCAAGAAGGGACCTGATAATTTGAGTTAACTCTAACAATATACTGTAATCTAAAAAATATCCTTATAAAAGGCACTGGAAAGATTATCAGAACATTCAGATATTCTCTGAGCTATCTTTCTGGGCTAGATCTTCAATTTCAGGTAGAAAAAAGACCCATACACCCGAACAGGAAAGTGCATTTAGAAAACACACAAATTATGTTCACTCTCCAAAAAGCATACTGTGACTCAGGAATGGATTGTGTCCTGGGTTACTGTCTGGATACAGGCAACATCTGTCAAAAGGAAACATTTTAAAAATGCATTTTCTAGGTTAAAAAAAAAAAGACCAGCTGTCTAAATAACCAAAAAGCATCTGTTTCTTCACTGCTCCCACAAAATTTGGAAGAGCAATTTAGGCCTAAGGATCACTTAATTGTTCCTTGAAGCTAGAAAACAAGTTTTTCTGTTTTAATCTGTCTTGAAAACATATTATTTGCAAGACTCAAAATAATTCTGTCTAGCTTTACTTCAAATTCACTGTCAATTTCAACTACTATCATTTTATTTATCTCACCCCATTTGGTATTGGGGTACATTATCAGATCGAATACAGAATGTGAACATATGTGCTTGGTTGGCCTCATATCCACAGATAACCTGCTTACATCCTGGACCAGGGGTAACGGTCATCAGTTCCCCATCTTCAAGCTCTAATTATTTAAAGGAAGGCTGGTTCCCCTGCTGTATGTCCACTGGGCACCCAGCAAGCAGTCAATAAATGAGTGAAACTGATAGAACATTAATAATGAGCAGAAAGTGTTTGAAATTTTTCATAAAGACCATCTGGCAACAATTATAAAATCATGTAAACTCATGCTTAAATAACTCTCTGAATTATTTTTATGAGAAGTCAAATATGAATAAGTTATTTGTTCTGGGGCATCCACACTTAACTTTGTGTCATGGCACTCTCATGCTAAGCTATATGCTTGACAGTAAAGAGAAGTACTTCTAAGTAATTCTTGGCAACATTGTGACACTCTGAGTAGGAAAATATGCCAAAGAATTACAAAGGTATCATGGGGGTTGAACTTGCATTCCTCTTTCCACAGTGTATAGAAACCAGTAATTTTTCTCAGAATGCTTCAGTTAACTTTAAGCTTAATTTATGATAAACATAAAACATCTTACCATGTAATTCTAGTTCAAGAACTATCACCACTAATTTAACTTTACGATTCTGGTTTGTTTTTGGTAAATAGGTTAAGTAAGGATGGAGTTTGACACAGGGTATAAGTTGCTTTCAGGAACCAAAAATTTATAAAAGCCAAATATAAACATTTATATGTAATACCAAATTCTTAACAAGTGTTACCTAATATGTTGCATAGCTACTCAGAATTGTAAAAGACTTCACCCTGTACTCCTTCCCTATCACCTATATTCCTTTTCCTTCTTCTTTTAAAAATGTATACTGAACAAATAATCTGCTGAAGTTAACTCCCAAATTTTATGTATTAATCAGTCAACAGCAGGCCAAAAGTAATGTACTTTGTAGGTACATTAATTGTGTTTGTAAATGAATTGTATGCCTTTCTAATTTCACAAGCTGACAGGAGACTGTGATTCTAAGATAAGCACTGGCTTGCATTTAAGTTATATGATTCTAATGGAACCCCCTAATTGACCAGATTCCTTTTGGGAAGTTTTCATAGAGTCAGAGTTAATTTACAAAGGCAAACACCCCAAAGAGATGTGGGAGAAAATAAAGTCAAAGTCTGTATATAGTGACATTAAGAGCTCCTAGATATGTTGGTAAGGGAAAAGCAGCAAATTACAAAATTTATGCATAGTAAGGCACAATTTATGTAAAACTTTAAAGCTCACAAAACTGTATTTCTGTAAATAAATATATATGGGTATAAATGCATAGCGAAAAGGTAATTGAAGAGTATATACTACAGAGCAATAATCACCATTTGGGAAGAGGTACTCAAGGGGCACTTTCACAATATCTATACTTTTTATTCTTTGCCCTAGGATATATTCTTAGATAATACAAATTGAAGAACTTTTATATTTCTAGAAAGTACTATATATGATCATTTCCTTAAAATAGCTTCTACTTATGATAGTTGAGCAAATACACATTGTCTTTCAACATTATCATACTCTATCCTCACCTTTCTCATTGCTCTATAGAGGTTGTGACTTAGTGAAAATAATTATTAGCATTTTCTTGAGTGTCTGAGAATGAAGAGATACCAGGAAGTATGGAAATCAAGGTGAGAACTGATAAAGTGGGAATAAATTTAAGTAGTAGGCCGATCTTTTGGTTTTAATGTGATGCATTTAAAATATGTGCAGGCTTCTAAAGAGGACAAGTGCTTTAAGAATAAGATTCCTGCTGGGTGTGCCATTTAACTCAAACTAGCCAAGTTCATTTATCTACTACACAGAAAAAAGATGACATAAATTCTAGAGAGCACAAGCAGTGCTAAAGGTCTATCAAATTATAGGATATTTATTATAAGTGAAGAATTCTTGCTTGAAATTGGAAACTCAGGAGTAATCTAAATTTTTTTTATTACATGTGGTTAATATTAAAATACTTAGAAAATTTGCTCAGAATTGTGATTAATTTGTTTTCTTCAAAAGGGGAAAGCCATCAAAGTCAGGCAAATATGCACAGCATGAATTTTGTTCCACAACACCAAATAGATAACTGTTTTACTTGATTAAAAATTATAGAACAGCAACACACCAGAATCACAATTATGAAATCAAGTAAATGTACATGTTCAATGAATCCCAGCTCTCAATTGTTAAAATCCAGGTAATGCATTTTGTAATTTAGGAAAGAATACTCAAGGATCTTCTCAGTCTCTCTATATATACTTAGACATTATTGTAAGGCTCCTGGATGGCCATTACTATGTACATCCTTTTCTAGAAGATCTCAACATCTTAAATGGTCATACATTACATATTCCTTCTTTGTTATACTGTATCTATAAAGAAAATGGTGAGAACTGTAATGGCAAATAGAAATCAAAAGATAAATTTCAAAAGTTAAAGGCACAGATCGAACCACCTCTAGATATAATGTAAGTGGTTATTCAAAGGGTATATTATATTACTTGGAGATAACATAAGATCAATAATCTATATTCCTGGGTAGTACTTACAATATAGAAAACAGAAAATTACAAATTAAAATAAATAAATTGTATCAATTCACTTTTTTGAATGTTCTAAGTATTTGGCACAATGCAGAACTTTACGTTTATAGAAACTATTTGATAAAAGTAACATTTAAAAAAATGATTTAAAAAATGTCAGGTTGTAGAGTTCCACATCTACCTGACTTCCACTCTACTCCTTACTACCTTCCTCCCCATTTTTCAAACTATCTTTTCTTACTGAAAAACTGAAAGGGAAATATTATTCTTCTACCTTACTTGAATGCCAAATAAAAAGCAATCACTAATAAAATATGGTTAATACTTTTTTAAAAAGATTTCACTTTAGCTCTAACAGCCATAACTTTAGGGTATTTTCAGGAGATATCCCCAGAACAAAACAAATTCAGACTCATATTTCATACAACGTGATGCTTTTTCTTTTGAGATTATTGTTTACCCCAAAATTGGTGCAATGTACATTTTTAAAAACCACAGACATTTTGTAATTTAGGAAAGAATACTCAAGGATCTTCTCAGTCTCTCTATATATACTTAGACATTATTGTAAGGCTCCTGGATGGCCATTACTATGTACATCCTTTTCTAGAAGATCTCAACATCTTAAATGGTCATACATTACATATTCCTTCTTTGTTATACTGTATCTATAAAGAAAATGGTGAGAACTGTAATGGCAAATAGAAATCAAAAGATAAATTTCAAAAGTTAAAGGCACAGATCGAACCACCTCTAGATATAATGTAAGTGGTTATTCAAAGGGTATATTATATTACTTGGAGATAACATAAGATCAATAATCTATATTCCTGGGTAGTACTTACAATATAGAAAACAGAAAATTACAAATTAAAATAAATAAATTGTATCAATTCACTTTTTTGAATGTTCTAAGTATTTGGCACAATGCAGAACTTTACGTTTATAGAAACTATTTGATAAAAGTAACATTTAAAAAAATGATTTAAAAAATGTCAGGTTGTAGAGTTCCACATCTACCTGACTTCCACTCTACTCCTTACTACCTTCCTCCCCATTTTTCAAACTATCTTTTCTTACTGAAAAACTGAAAGGGAAATATTATTCTTCTACCTTACTTGAATGCCAAATAAAAAGCAATCACTAATAAAATATGGTTAATACTTTTTTAAAAAGATTTCACTTTAGCTCTAACAGCCATAACTTTAGGGTATTTTCAGGAGATATCCCCAGAACAAAACAAATTCAGACTCATATTTCATACAACGTGATGCTTTTTCTTTTGAGATTATTGTTTACCCCAAAATTGGTGCAATGTACATTTTTAAAAACCACAGTTTTCCTCGATGGTCACAAAGCAAAACAAGAACACCCATCACCATTACAGAAACAATGATTGTATACTTTCAACATAATATTCAGATTTCTTAAATAACGATCTTAAACCAATTTTTAACTATATCTACTAAGTGTATACACTTACTAGTCGAAAAATATATTGGTTCTACCTACCTACCACTTCTAATACACAACACAATAACAAGTGTCTTCTTCCTATTAGCACAATTATAAGGACAGGAACACAAAATGTGAATTAAGGGGATGAAGAAAGTTAGAAAAATTTCCTCAGTCTTGTTTTATCATTTCTTTGCCTTTCCTTTGTAGACACACTGCAGCTGATTGGTCCTCTTTCGTTACCCACCCTGTTGCTGCCTGAAGACCTTTTTTGGACATGAGAGCAAGGGCAGGTATATCATATTACCTATTGGTTCTTTTGAAATTAGCTTAAATTAATGGTTAAAAAAAGAAGAATGAAATGCTTGAGGTTAAGAGAAATACTTCCATGAGTAATTATCTGGAAACTCCGAAAAGAGGTTCCTATCTTGACTTTGTATCATGAATACAGGGTCAAAATTCAAGAGTACAACTCTCCAATTATCAGGCTTTATCAGTTTGTTTTTTTGGAATAAAGCTCAATTTAATCGCTAATTAGTTTAAAAGATATTTATCATTCTAGTGGAGAAGAGCCTGTTTCCCATCTACATCCACAGCAGTAAAAATGGTAAGGCTTAATTACCTCTGAAAGACCCAGAAGAGCCAAACAATTTTTCCTGTATCTGTCCTTATGATCTTCCCTGCCTCCCCGCACCTGCTGCATAAACACAAACTTCACAGGAAACCCAGAGACAAGAGTATAGTAGTCCTCTGACAAAGGAAGACAATTTTAGCTTACCTCCAACTTTTCCCACCCCACCCTCCCAAACACACACAACAGAGAGGTCAGTGTGTTCTCTGGCAAGGATAAAAATTGAAGGAGGCTCAAAGAACACTTAACACTGAGTTAAAATTCTAACATTGTAACATCAAGTTGTCAATTCATTCAACTTTCACCCATTTGGGAAAATTTAAGCTATTAACTTAAATATATAGTAGTACTTCTTCAGTAGCTATAACCTCTTTATAACCTCTTAATTGTTCATGCTAACAACTTTTATTGCATACTACTGCTTCTTTTAAGAAGTAAATCCAGGACCATTCCACTTTATCTTAGACTTAACATTTACTAGTTTTCCAAGAATGACAGAAATGAAAAAATATATATATTAGGACAAGAACAATTATGTTAATTTCCACAATTTTTGTTCCATGGGCAGTGCCTGATTCTATTTAAATTAACAAATTTAAGTTCAATCCTATGCTTAAGAAAAAAAAAACTAATGAGAGACTAATTTACAAAGTATATAAGAATATAATTTTATAATAAATCTTTCCAGTGTTTACATTACACGAAATGTTTCCCTTCATAAAAACTCAGAAGGACAGCTCTTATAAAATGAAACAAACTTTCTATGTTCATCTCTGGTAAGCAATGAACAATTACAATTTTCTCAAAAAAGGATCTAAAAGTGCTGCCTTAGGAGCATACACTACCACTAATGTGCTGTATGAATGAAGTCTTGGTGAGTGGCAACTGTCTGGGACCTTTTCCTCTCCTCACACCAGTGAACCCATCTCACATAAAGCTTAAGAGAAAACTAAAGCCATTGCAAAAGTGAAACTCAATATGCTCCAAATATGTCTAAGGTAACCATTCAAAAGGAAAATTGGCAGAAGTCATCTCTTTAATCAAACAAACAAAAAAACCAAAAAAACAAAACAAAAAACCCAAACCAAAAGGCAAATGCTGTTGTTCAATCATCTGATGGACTTAGAGGCAAAAAATGTGACAACAGCAATAATTCAAGTACACTGTATATGAAAATTTAAACACGCCACTTTCAAGTTAAGACAAAAGTGAAGGAGAACTATGATTTTTATATGAGAGTCAAAAAGCGTAGGCATTATCATCAAATGTTAATTCATTTTAGTCATCAATGAGACTACCGTATATATTTTTGCACCTTGCGCTTGTAAAAGCAGATAAAATATTTAATATGTCATTTACAATGTATATTACTAGCTCAGCATACAGGATGTATATAGATTATATCAAAGTAGTAGACAGTTAGGGGCCTGTGCAAACCCTGCAAAAATAGTCCTTCAGGTATCTGCTAATTAAAAGAAAAACACCACTTGCTGTTTAGAAGTGATACAATTCAAACTACCACAAAATACAAAGGGCTGCAAAATGTATACCATTCCAACAACATATATAAGTTATTAAATAAAGATCTGATTTAAAAGAATATAAATGAAGCCTTTAAGTAGGACTTTTCTACATGCATATTATTCCTTATTAAAGAAAAAAATATGTAAAAAGGCCATTGGTAATTGCTTTGTTAACATTTGTAGAAAATGCCAATTCTCTGGTCACAAATTCCACTAAGTTTAGCACTTAAGGTCTCTTCAGTGTTATAAACATTAATTTAAAATACTGTTAATTCTATAATTCCATTGGTAAAATAATGTGACTTAGAATATGGCAGTCTTCATGTTGAGGGCAATGATCCACAGTCTGATATTTTAAATTTCTTAGATGTGAACAGTTATCCAGAAGAACAGCACCCTCCGCCACCAGCCTGGGCTTGAGGTTCATCATCGATAATCTGTACGCCTCGCCTTGCAGCTCCTGGTTGACTGGAGCCATTACCTTTTGCCCTCTCATCCACTTGTGCTGTTTCTATCATCCCTAAGAAAGAGAAACAGAGAAACTATTTAGAACAAAAATCTTTTGAGTTTTCTCCTTCTGTAATTTCAGTATGCCAACATGATAGCTATTTCTGACTTTCAACCAACAAGGAAATTAAATATAATAAATATTTTGTCAGCTCACTAAATAGCTTTTGCTGCAAGTATAAAAAATGTAAATAGCATATTAATTATTAACAGCATAGTATAGCAAATAGTGTATTTGTCCTGTTATATAATGGCCACAGTGACATCAATAGAGAGAAAAGAAGTTTTTGGTTTGAACAAAGAACTATTGATGAGCAAAATCCTTAAGATTATCCAAATACACTTAAAAATTATATCAAAGCCCAGTATTTCCATTTCTAGGAATTTACCCCAAGAAAACAAAATCCCTGATTCAAAAAGACATATGCACCCTTATGTTTATTGTTGCACCATCTGCAGTAGCCAAGATATGGTAGCAACTTAAGTGTCCATCAATAGATGAAAGGATAAATAAGAGGTGGTACCTATACACAATGGAATATTATTCAACCATAAAAAGAAAAGAAACCCTGCTATTTGCAACAACATGGATGGATACTGCTATTTGCAACAATGGAGGGTATTATGCTCCGTAAAATAAGCCAGGCAGAGAAAGACAAATACCACATGGCTTCACTTATTTGTGGAGTATAAAAACAAAGCACAACAGAAGGAACAAAATAGCAGTAGATTCACACACACCAAGAAGGGACTAATGGTCACCTAAGGGGGAGGGGGAAGGGATAAAGGGGCACAATAATTCACAAGCACAATATCTGGTGGTCATGAGGTCAGTAATACAACACAGAGAATACAGTTAATGATTCTGTAACATTTTACTATGTTGACAGATAGTGACTGCACTAGAGGGGGTGAAGATTTAATAATATGGGTAACTGCTGAACCACTGTATTGTATATTTGAAACCAATATAAGATGATATCAATGATACTTTAATAAAAAATAATTATGTCAAAGTTCAAATTGTTCCAATTATGTGAAATTTCATGTACAAGATTTATTCTTCAAATAGTAATATACTCTTTTTACGCAAGTGATATTTGAAAGAATGAAAGAGTCTAAGATGAAAGAGGACTCTACCTGATTTAAAGATAGAGCATAGTTACTCTAACGAAGAAAATGAGATACTGGTAAAATGAGAAATACAGAGATCAATGGGAACAGAGTCCAGATACAGAAACCATACTGTCACTTTATTTTTAACACATATGCCAAGATTATACAGTGAAGAAAGAAAAAATTTTCAAGAAACTTACATGGACACTTACATGTATCTATACATCAATGTACGTGAAAATTAACAAAAAATTAATTATAGAACCAAATGTAAAGCACAAAACATAAAATTTTTAGAAGAATATAGGAGGAAATCTATGTAGGAGACAATTTTTGTGACTTTGAGTTAGGCAAAGATTTCTCATGTAAAACACAAACATGAACCATAAAGAAAAACGGATAAACTGGACCTAATAAAAATATAGAATTTCTGCTCTTTGAGAGAGACAGTGAAGAAAAATGAAAATACAAGATACAGATTAGGAGTAATTATTTGCAAAATACATATCTGAAAACAAGAGGAAAGAAAAGATGGAATTCTTTAAAAAGGGGTTCTTAAACTTGGATCCAGAGATTTTCTTCAACAATGGTTTTCTCTAGTGAGGTGTGTAGGACAATTCACTGAGATCAAACTAGAAAACATTAGAAATCCTAGTTTCTACTTGTTTTTCCTTCACCTTTCAAAATTTCTATTTTTTATGTTTTATAATGTATAAATTACAATAGTGCTTACGTATGTTCTATAATTTTTAAATAACTATATGAGGAATACCCAAACTTTTTTTAATAAACATGTGAGGTTTGTAACATGTCTAAGCCACTGATCTAGAACCTTGACAATCAAAGTATGGACAGCATAATCCATATTTGGGAGCCTGTTAGAAATGAGAGGCCCACACCAGACCCACTATGTCAAAATATGCATTTTTAAAAAGATCCCCAGGTGACTTATATGAACAGCAGTAGTTCTCAAATTTTAGGATGCATCAGAATGACATGGAGCGATTGTTAAAACACAGAATCTGGGCACCACCTCCAGAGACATTCTCAAGTGCTACTGATCCTGCTGATCAGGGGACCTAACAGAGAACCACTGCTCTGGAAAAATTATGAGTGAATTTCAGGTGCTTTGAATTTCAGGTGCTTTTCATAAAACTGAAATTTACTCCAAAGTTTGTATATACGTACATTTTTCTAGAAAGAAAAACCATTGTTTGATCAAATTCACAAAAAAGTCTGCAGTTTGACAAAATCTTTTCAATCCATTGTTCTGTAGACTAAGGTTTTCCTAAGTATGATATACATCCTATTGGTGGCTAGACAACTGACTTTCAGTTTGTATATATAAACAGTCTCCTTTCTTTTAAAAAAACTTTTTTATGTGGAAAATTTCAAACACATATTGAAGTAGAAAGAATTAAGACAATGAAAAATCCCATGTCCAACACACAATTTCATCCATACTAAGCAAACATCTCTACCATATTTTGAATAAATTCTGGACACATAATTTTACTCATGAATTATTTTAATGATCTCTAAAAGGTAACTTTAAAAAAAAATAAGAACTTTGTTTTAAAGCATAAACACAACACTATAGTCACACTTTTAAAAAACCTACATTTTTAAAAATAGAGAATAATTCAATTTTTTTAAACTAAAAATAAATAACTTTACCCATTTTTCCCAGCAGCCATGCCGTGCCTCTGGCAACCACCAATTTGCTCTCTGTATCTATAAGGTTAGTTTTTCTCTTCTGTTTTAGAATCCATGTACAAGAGAGACCATACAGTATTTATCTTTTCTCTGCCTTACTCCACTCGGCATAATGCCCTCAAGGTCTGTCAATGTTGTTGAAAATGGCAAGTTTTCATTATTTATTATGGATATTATATAATAATATCCCACCACACACACACACACACACACACACACACACACACACACCAGTTTCTTTATCATTTCATCCTTCAATGGGCTCTTAGGTTGTTTTGGTATCTTGGCCCATAAAATAACGCTACAATGAACATGGGGGTGCATGTGCCTTTTCAAGTTAGGGTTTTATTTTCTTTGGATAAGTTCCCAGAATTGGAACTGCTGAATCCTATGGTAGTTCAATTTTTAATTTTTTGAGAAACCTACATACTGGCTTGTAGTAGCTATAACAACTTACTTTCCTACCAACAATGCACAAGCACTCAATTTTTTCCACATCCTCACCAACACTTGTTATTTCTTGTATATTTTTTTAAATTGAAGTATGGGTGATATATAATCATATATTAGTTTCAAGTATACAACACAGTAAGTAGTTCAACAGCTACCCACATTATTCAGTCCTCACTCCAACCAGCAGTGCACTTATTATCTGCCAATATAGAAAGATGTTATAAAACGACTGGCTATATTCTCCATGTGGCACTCACTACTCTCCTGTAACCAATTTATACTATGATTGAGAATTTTTCCTCCCCTTTATCACCCTCACCTTCCCCACACTTGTGCTCCAACGCCTCCACCATGGTAACCACCAGTCACTTCTCAGTGTCTTTGTGTCTACTCTTATTTTATTCATTTCACTTTGTTTTGTTTCTAGATTCCACATATAAGTGAAATCATATGGTATTTGTCTTTATCCACCTGGCTTATTTCACTTAGCATCATACCCTCTAGGTCCATCCATGTCATCACAGATGGCACAATTTATTTGTTTTTTATGACTGAATAATATTCCATTGTGTATGTGTACCACCTCTTCTTTATCCATTCACCTACTGATAGACACTTTGGTTGCTTCCATACCTTGGCTACTGTAAATAAACAGGGGTACATATATCTTTTTGAACCAGACATTGGTTTCTTCAGGTAAATTCCTAGGAGTGGGCTTACTGGGTCATATGGTATTTCTATTTTTAGTCTCCTGAGGAACAACCATACTGCTTTCCACAGTGGCTGTAACTAATTTACATTCCCACCAACAGTGCAGGAGGGTTCCCTTTTCTTCACATCCTCACCAATACTTGTTATTTCTTGTCTTTTGGGTACTGGCCATTCTAATTGGTGTGAAGTGATATCTCATTGTGGTTTTGATTTGCGTTTCCCTGATGATTAGCGATGTGATACATCTTTTCATGTGCCTGTTGGCCATCTGTATTTCTTTTTTGGAAAAATCTCTGTTCAGATCCTTTCTGCTCATTTCTTTTCTTATTCTGCCTTTGCAGTTTGATGACTTTCTTTAGTTAAGCTTCTATTCCTTTCTCTTTTCTGTGTATACTGATATGGTTTTGTTTTATGATTACCATGAGGCTTACATAAAACAACCTCTATCTATAATGGTCTATTTTAAGCTGTTAACATCTTAAGTTTGATGACATTATAAAAATCAACATGACTACTCTCCCTGAACCATATTTTTTAATTTTGATGTCACATTTTACACCTTTTTATATTGTGTATCCCTTAACTAATTATCATGACCATTGTTATTTTTACTACTTCTGTATTTTTTCACATGAGCTTTATAAATAACTAATCCACTACCTTTACTATGTATTTACCTTTCTGGTGAGATTTTTCCTTTCATATGTGGAATTATGAATCAATGCCCTTTCTTTTCAGCTTAAAAAAGTCTCTTTAACATTTCTTGTAAGGCTGGTATAGTAGTGATTTCATTCCCACCAACAGTGTAGGAGGGTTCCCCTTTCTTTGCATCCTCACCAGCATTTGTTGTTCCTTTCTTTTGGATGGTGGCCATCCTGACTGGTGTGAGGTGTAGCTCATTGCGGTTTTAATTTGCATTTCCCTGATAATTAGCAATGTGCAGCATCTTTTCATGTGCCTGTTGGCCATCTGAATTTCTTCTTTGGAGAACTGTCTGTTCATATCATCGGCCCATTT